GTTGAATGATTTGAATGATAAATGTGGAACCATTTTTTTTTTTTTTTTTTTTTTTAAAAAAAAAATGGTCCGAAAGGGGTTTTTTTTTAATTGATGTTTATAAACAAAAAAAAACAAAAAAATACCGCAAAGAATTTTAATTTTTAAACAGGGAAAGTGACCGTTATTTAAAAAAAAAAAAATTATTATTATAATTATTATCATTATTATTTAATTGTGCAAACGATTTTTACGTTTATGGTAAATGTTTTGTAAATTATTATATTCCTTCGGGGGGGAAGGGGAAAGAAATTTCAAAACGATAAAATTTAATAAAATTTTTTTGTTTTTGCAAAAGGACTGATGGAAGATCATCACGAATGATTTTTTTTTTTTTATATATAATAAAACAAGTTACGAGTAAGCGGAATTAATGTTTTTTTTTTTTTTTCTTCTTTCAGAGAAAGGAAAAAGGAAGAATGTTAAAGACAAGTCAACGCTAATTGTGTTATTATTATTATTATTAAAAGGAAGAAAAAGGAGAATGAATAAGGAAGGTGTCGATGGCGGTGGTGGTGGTGGCGATGCCCCAAAGGTATAATAATCAGTTACACGTTTAAAATTTTTTTTATTTTTTTATTTATTAATATATATATTTAAAATGCCTTGGGAATTTTTTTTTTTTTTTAGATTAAAACACTCCGTCATCGAAGAAAATATTAATTATCTTAACAACAACAACAACAACAAAAATGGATGTGGTTTATATAAAGAAAATGTTTTAAACACACTTCTTGTGAGGTAGTATATTGTCCTTGACCCGAAGAGAAAAGATGATGATGATGATGCGGCAAGAGGAAAAATATTAAGCCGCCAACACCACCACCATCATCATCACCACCACCTGGTAAGACTATTTTTCATTTTCAAAAAAAAAAATTACTTACTGTCAAATTTAATTACGTTTTATTTAAAGTTACGTGCAAACGTGAAAATTAATCAAGAAAATGTTTTAATTAAGAATAAAATAATTAATTAACGATAAAAGGTTGTTGTTGTTAAGTTAAGGAAAAAAAAAAACAAACAAAAAAAAGGATTAAAGTTTATCATTATTAATTACAATCGATTATCGAGGAAAATCCAAAAGGTTTTCGCTTAAAGGTTTAACTATGCAAAGGGAAAGGGTAAAACTTTGAAAAAAAAAAAAAAAAGAAGGTCAAATTGTAAAAATTAATTACTGTCAACACAATTAAGGAAAACGCGTGTAACCCCCATCACCACCACCATTACTACCACCACCATCGCCATGGCAAAGCCAAAATGATTTTTTTAAAGTTTAGGGGTCGATTATATCTTGTCTGCCTCGGTACAAGACAATTGCCAAAAGGAATTTATTTGGGTCACATATACGATACGTTACTTAATTACAATTTTTTACATTGTTAAATAACATTTTAGAAAAAAAAAAAAAGTCCTTTTAAGGATCAAATAAAATAATTATGATTAAAAATTTTCCCCAATGATAAAACCACCGGTAAGAGAAACCGGAAACACGTTTTTATACAAAAAAAAAAAAAAAAAATCACGAGAGTAAAAAATTTTTTTTTTTTTTAAATTTACGCGAAATTAAATTGGTTAGATTTACACCGAAAATTTTTTATGAATTATGTTCACGATAAAAAATACCCGCCTTTTTTTCTTTGTATCACGTGGTTAAATTTTTTTTTTATGAAAAATATTTATCTTAATACCATATAATTATTTTATTTTATTTTTATTTACGGTTCATTAAATTGTTCAGTTTTTTTTTTTTTTTTTTAAATTATTATTTATCGAGAGCATTTGAATGGGGGGAGGGGGAAGGGGGAGGGTTGGGCAGGCAGGCAAGTAGGCACGCGTTACAAAAAGTTTTATATATTTAAATATTTATTTAATTATTCAAATTTCTATTGCACATTTTTATTTTTTTTTTAAATTGCATTGTGGGTTTTTTTTTTTACACTAGGGACAATAATTAAAAAAACCTTCACCTGGATATACCTTTAACCACTTCGACACTCGTCGATCATTGTTGTAATTTTTTCTTTAAAGTGTTATGATATTGAAAAAAAAAAAAAAAAAAAAAAAATTTTTTTAAGATTATTTTTTTAACTATAACAATTCTAAAATGATTCATAAAAGAATATTTTACTCGAGTTTAACATTTTGAAATGGTGGCGGTTCTCTATAATAATAACACAAGAAAGAAACTATTAAAAAATAAATAAATAAGAGGTATTAATTATTGTTATTATTAAAGCATAAATTATTTATTTAAACAAGAAAAGTATTTATGTTAGTAAAAAATAATTTTAAAAAAGAAAAAATTAAAAAGGAATTTAGTTTGGAAAGATAATAGATTAATAACAAAGAAACATTTATTTGTTTAATAAGTAACAATTAAATTATTAAAAAAAAAAAAAAAAACATTCATTTCAATTGTTTTTTTTTTTTTAAAAATAAATTCATGCAATTGCAATTCTTTTTTTTTTTTATTAAACAAAATGCATTTTAATAAATAAATAAAAATATATGAGACACAGTAGAACAAGAGAATTTGGAGAAAAAAAATTAAATTTATTAAAAGTAGTTTTTCATGAATCATTTTTTTTTTTTTACAACTACTCGTTTGTTTGTTGGTGGTCGGTCTTATTAATTATTACTAAATTAAACAAAAGATTAAAAACTTTTTTTTTTTTTAAACTGATAATATAATAATAATATGCGAGGGAATAATTTATATAAAAAAGCACACACTTAACTAATTATATATTAAAATTTATTCGGTGTTTCCCACACATTTTCCAAATGATTGTTAATCACAACTCGTAAAACACGTTATAGATTCGAATCAACAAAAACAACAACAACAACAATCAAACCCAAGCCCATTATTATTACTATTATTATTATTAATGTTATTAATTTAAATTTAAAAAAAAAATAAACAATCAATTATGGATTTATTTAAAATAAATGTTTTAATCAATTAAAATTATGAGCGACGATTATTTTCGAATGTAATTTGGAACCGTTAAAAAAAAAAAAAAAATGATTTTCGTAGAAAACCCCTTAAATTTTTTAATTATGCAATTTGTATTAAATTAACGGTTTTTTTTTGTTGTTGTTTTCGAAAAATCAAATTCGGATTTTTTTTTTTTTTTTAATAATTAAGTATTTTTGTTTTAAGTTCGTTATAAATTTTTATTAAAAACAAGAAATTTAGTTTCTAACGAGTTGAAAATTTAGTTAGAATAAAAAAAAAAAAAAATAATAATATTAAATATTTAAATTAAATAAAACAAATAAAACCCTCGAGGGAAATTCATGTGTGCATATAAGTATTTATCACTTGTTCGTTCGTTTTAATAATTTAAATCGTATTTTAACATTACCATTCACTTATTAATTACGGGGAATTTGTAAAAGAAAAGCAATAAATAATAATGATAATAATATGAAATCGAAGTGTATGAAAAAAAAAAAAAAAATTACGGCGCACGAATGCACCACCGGCAAAAAATAAATAAATAAAATCATATTTTAAAATTTTAAAAATGTTTTTTTTTTTCTTTTATTTTGAATTTTAATAACTTTATGCAAATGTCGCAAAAAAAAAAAAATGATTTGGCTTTAATTCCTTTGTAAAAAATAAAACAAAAACAAACAACAACAACCACAATCGAGTATTATTTTGCCTCCTTTTGAAAACATTCGTGGGTTGAACACAAAAAAAAAAAAAACGTGTGTCAATCGGTTTTTATTATTATTATTATTATTTTTTTTTTATAGCCTCTCGGCATTAAATGTTTTATTATCATTATTATTATTTAAATAAGTTTAGGTTAATTTAATAGAAATATAAATAAGGGGAATGATAATTGCAGAAAGAAATTAAATGTTCAAGGTATTATATATCGATATTGAATTTTTTTTGTTGTTGTTAATTATGGGCACCCATTTGAATGTGGGGGTGGGGGGTTAGAGTTATTATCAATTTTTAAAATTTTTTTTAAAACTTGAGTGATTGTAATGATAGCGAGCGGTTTATTTAAAATTTATTCATAATCCGTTTGATTAAATTAAATTTAAAAAAATGAAAAATAAAAATAAAAACGCAAGGTTGTACAAATATTTATTAAATAATAAATAAGAAAATAAATTATTTTAACACCGCATTTATACAAAAAACAAACAAACAAATAAAAAAAATTTTATTTTCTTTTGTTGTTTTTGTTGTTTGTAAGTTTTGTGTGTTTATGTGTTTAAAAAAAAAAAAAATGTTTTTTGTGTTTGTTTTGTGTTTTTTTTTTTGTTTAAATGTGTGATATGTGATTTTGATTGTTTTAATCTTTGGCGGATTGTGTTTTAATTATTCATGATTATTAAAATGTGTGAGCAAAATATGGGTGGCGCGCACACACACACACACCATTTTAAAATATAACATTTCCGGAAATAAATAAATTTTTTTCAATTGGTGCTTTGTGATATCGGATAATTTTTAAATTCTTTTCGATCCAGATGATGAGTGTAATAATAATAATTAAAAAATTTTGTTTTTTTTTTTTTGATATAAATAATGAATGTGTGTTTTTAATCATCTCCACCAGTCATGACTTCCATGAATTCTATAAAAGAAGAAAAAACAAATTTCAGGTTTTTAAAAGGTTTAAAAGTTAAAATGATAATGATAATATGGGGATTTACCATCGAAATCAAC